ATAATTGCAATGTACTTTAAACATTGTTCATCATTTGATATTCCATGAGGCTTTAAGATAGACTTTAGGGGCAATAGCAATGTTATTCTTAAAAACCTCTATGGCACTAATGAGTCAATCCATAAACTCCAAAAAACCTGTCAGTAAATATACCTAGTAAAAATATAACAGATATTTGAACATGTTCAAGTAATTACTGGAAGTTTACTTAAAGGTACATACGAACCGAGCATCGGTACGTGGAGCGTGGATTCCCAGTAACACATGTAAACCACTTCTACTAGATTCTTATATGACTCAAATAAATTCGACATGCCAAGGGATAAACTGAATAGATCACTCGATCAGCCATAAAAGACCTTTAGACTGCTCCTTTCTTTAAATTTGTGGTTGTAAATTTAACCTACTTTCGTGACCTACTTTCCTGCCCCATTGACATACAGCTTAGAATGCCAGCAGAAAAATCTGTTCAAACATCATTTTCGGGTAAAATTAAACAATGCCTTTTGGTAATTCTCTTAGTTATACTACTTGAAACTATATGCTGGCATTTGGTTGGTTTTTGTGACAAAAAATTGACTTTGTATGCATCTTTAAAATAGCATGTAAATGACTAATAAGGGCACTCAGACCCTGGACCATTCAAATGTGCTTTCTTCATGTCCCTGGATCATAATGGTTTCGACTATATAATTATTATGCATTATCTTATTTTTTGAGGGAAAATTGTTTGCAATTACTAGTAGCTGGTAAGACAAAAAACATATCCCCTATAGAAACATTAAACTGTCGCAAAAATAAGTGTAGAACATGTATTTCTCTAAAGTGTACAACATGCCCTATGATATTTATCTTAAGTAAAATCCAAAGCTCTAAGACACATATGCATTGGCAAGTAAAATGCATACATTCACTTGCACAGGGAGCACATAACTGCTTTTATTTCTTTTTGCAAATTGCAGTGGTTACATTGCCATCTACGTGGTAGGCAAAACAACTTTTTTTCCCCAAATACCACAAACCAGGATTCTATACGCTAAGTGTGCAATCAACCAACCTGCCGAATCAGTTTGAAAACTCAATTCAACTGCGCAAAAAATTAGCACTCGTAGGGCCACCCAGCTCTTCTGGAAGCAATTCCAACAAAAACACAAAAAACATGTAAAAAAAGTTTTCAAAAATTAAGCAACTTTGGCCTAGTCTGTGAGAAACAATAGATGGGCAATGAACTCTTTATTAAAGAGGGATCAAAAGGCCAGACACCTAATTGGAAACAATATCAGATCCAGATTTTGAAAACTTGAGGCAATGAAGCGATGCCTTCCTTAAAACATACACTCAACTCGAGTTTATAGTAAGTTCTCTTTATAACTGAACAAAAGGAATTGGTTCTACTTCGCATTAATGTGTATTATTTTGAGTATAATAATTATCAAAGACTTGAGAATAAAAATAGTGTATTTTAATTATTTTTATAGTAATACAAAGATGTATATATAATATGTAACTTTTTGGGAAATATAGAGTTTAAAAAGAGTGAATTCTTACCGTACCACAATTTGCCTAAATAAAGGTTATTCTTATGTTGTTGAAATTCAAATCCCAAAACCTGTAATACTATACAAACTAGGTGTAAAGTTTTAACTAAAATAAATAGTGTGTGTACATGTGTGTGTCAAAAACGTATATTTTGTATATAGTAAAAATATGTGTGACAGAGACATTGCAAATAGAAATGAAAGAAATTGTCATGTACATGTTAAATGTTAAAGCACTTTTGAGGTTTTTGAAATATCAAATTATGAAAATTGTTATAGTAATGGTACAGCTTCATGACCTAAAATGGTCTCTAACATACATGGCAAATTTAGTGCATGCTGCAATTGGAACATCATTCCCCAGGTACTTATTTGTTCGATTATATCACAAATCAGAGAAGGAATTACCCTTTTAAGTCAATCTTCTGTCTCCACGAAATCAGTAATCAAGCTCTTCTGACGTTCAACGATTGATGCCAATTTTCACTTTTCTTCCCCAGAAGGTTAAGTACAGGGCAGGAGGCCATAAAAAAATTAACAACTCAAGGTGATAATTGGCCACTTCTGTTAAATCTCTGATGACGTTATGAGAAAGAAAAACACTTGAAGATAACAAGACGGTGCCACTGCTTGCTGAGAACAATAGGAAACCAATACAACAGAGCCTAAATTGAAATAAAAAGAGACCAGAAGACCCCCACGCTGCTCCAGAACTGATACAAGTTATCTCTGTCTGTAACACTTCTCTTTTCTTCTTGGGTTACTATTAAAACAGAGATTGGTTACAATCAAAACAAAGATGGATTACCAGGTCTTGCACTCCATTATTGAGTCTGGGCCAGCTAATCTAGCAGAGAGAAACTGCATTATGAAAAATGGCATAAGTTTTCACTAAAAATATTATATTTAAAAAAAACTGTAAAATCTAAATACCATCATGTCAGATCTGACTGCTTTGTTTTGTAAAGCACTTTGCTTTAGCTTAAAAACCAAAAGCACTTTGTGGTAATATTTTTTTTTGGATCCATATTATACCAAATACAGCATGAACAGAAATATATATACATTTACCATACTTATATACCTTGGCTAAGAAGAAAACAATTTTTCCATACTTTATTTTTGAGCTGCACTCAAATCAAAATCAAAAATAAAAAGCAGGTCACATAACAGCAGACATAGATGAGATTAAAAAAAAAATGCACAGTGCAGTATCCCTCCAGGCAAGAGGCAAGCTACTTTACCATTAAAAATGTCATTTCATTTATGTGGTTTTACACAAAAATGTAGAACCTGGCCACGAGCCACTGCACAAGATAAGATGAAAAAGTTGCACTATCTTTGCAATGTTTGTAGTGCTGATAGCATTCTGCTGTCTCCATCCACATCAGCCTTATTAAGTACGACTCTAAATCTGCCATTATGGCAAACTAAAGTCAGTTGAAAGCTTTCCAATATATCACAGTGATCTAAAGCAAACAAAATGTGATTGCAATCAAGCAGGCGGGTCCACAACAATCATCCACGCAATAATAACGTGGGGCACGAAAAGTACCCCCTTTAGACATCAAGACTTACACCTATAATCCCTTTGATTGCAATATCTTTATACTCCAAGATATTCAAAATCCACCGTTTCAGAGGATAATAATATCTGATATCAGGTCTATGTACTTTCAATTAAAAATGATGATAATGTTGTCAGTTTATGTTGTCAGTTTAGGAAGTCAATGCTTCAAAACACAGGGTGTAAGAGTGGGAATGCATATAACCTAAGTGCTGCAGAACTGAGTCAGAACCGATCTGTGAAAGTCTCTTATGAACAGGCCTTGATTCATTTTGTTTTGGTTTTGCTGTTGAACTCTCCTTTACATAGCCACTGCAGTTTCTCTCCTTATTTGAACATTTGATCATCATTACAACTGAACAGCTTAATTGCTACCACAGACTGCCAAAACATGTATTATATTAAACTTTATAATAAAACATATAGTTTGTTGTGATTAAAAGCCAGTGCAATGGCCAATTAAATAGAAGAACCTGTACTATTGGCATTCTGCCATGAA